TAGACGTCATGGACTTAACCTGAATCCAGGTAAAGCGCAAGCCATTGCATTTGACACTCGCCCCTTGCTGGCACAATTTAATTCCTTAACTACCCTTTAACGGAGGCTTGACGACACCGTTATTCCGTTTTCTAATACGGTCAAAAATCTTGGTGTGGTAATGAATTCGACGATGTCTTGGCTGCCACAAGTTCAGGGAGTCTTGATTTAGGAAAGTTTCAGAAGATTACTTCATATCGTAACAACCTGCAGATGATTACTTGCCAGAGTCGCAGATCATTTCGTATGCTTACTATGTTGTACCCGCACTGCTGCTTATTTGGCCGATGCCTTTCACTTATTTAGCATCACATGACTTGCCCACTCGATCAATGTCAGATTCTACACTCATGTTTCCAGTCCATAGTACTGAAATTTACCACAGATCTTTTACAATGCAGTCGATGGCGTTGTGGAACGATTTGCCTGCTGTTGTTTGCAATGCAGCTAGTTTAATAAGTTTTAAAAATGCCTTGAGGCGCCATCTACTATCTCTTCAACTATTTTCTTCTTGACCTATACGTGTTTGTTTTCTTCTTTAGTCTGTCTTTCATCTATCTTTTACTGCACTTTTTTTGTGTCTATTTCCTTCCTTGTAGTAACTGACTGTCGATCCGTTACATAACTCAAATATGCTCATTCGCTTAGTCCTACTAGCACATCCTTTAGTATTACTTTTTTGGTAGCCATAATTATTTATTTAAAATTACATATACACTGTTACCAGTTGGGTCTCTTGGAAGATATCGCTTATTGCGATAAATTGATCCGTTTGCCTTGATGTCTATATTTGTTATGAATGTATATATTTATGGAAATACTTGTTTTTGAGGCAATAAACATTATTATTATTATACATAATACTTAAATGGTAATAGACTTTTTTTGGGACCCAAAAATATAGAGCGCCTCGGGCCCACAAAAGGTGTGATCCGGCCCTGCCTCCAAGGTAATGAAAAACTTGTTAGGAGTGATAAAGAAATGTAAGGAATTCAAACTGAAACATTCATCAATTCAGGATGAAATGCAGGACATGTACTGTGGAAAGCCTGAATCAGTATGTCAGCTACGAGATTCGGTAATTCATCGGTATTTCAAAAGAAGGGCATCCGGAAAATCGCTCATTTGTTCGCTTAGACAGCTTGCAAAAATACTCAAGTCAGTCCGCTTTGGATCTCGGACCATTGGTTCAGCAGTCTAGCTCCCTCGGGAACTGAATAATATCTTCACACTGAATCCTGCACCTCACATTTACATTAATCTTTGCACTTTCCACTACCTCAGAAGCATACTGTTTCTCTTCAAAAAAATATTAACGGTTGTTTTATTCTAAGTAAAAACATTTTTGACATAAATTGCTTCAAATTAACCAAAAAGACCTACTTCATTACCAGGTTCAGCTTGGCTATAACCACAATCTAGAAGTAAATAATAACATATTGGAAGTAAATTATCACAAAAGCAAAATGGTAAATTTCAAAAATAAACAAAGTTGTTGGTTTTTATTATAAAAATTACTAAGTAGAAAAAATTCAATTTATCTAAGGTTTGTGGTCGATGTAAATTGTGAATTGAGATTCATCTAGGTGTTATTCTAAAAAATGTTTATAGCTGAATAAATTGCTAATATGTACATAGTTCATGATTGAAAGTTTAATATTTAATTTGATAAATTTGGACATTTTAGATTTTAGTAAAAAGGTTATGTAGTGTGTGTTTGCGAAAGTACAGTATTTGTAGTAGAGTTAGATATCAGTCGTTATTAAAAAAAATGAATTGATGAGATGAACTATAAGTGAAAATGGTTGAAAATAAAATGCTAAAACAAAGTGTGGCGACCGTTACAAAGCAATGAAACAAATGCTCAGCAAAGCCTGGGAACAGGGCATAGATGTATACAAGGTTTTCGTGGAATTGAAGCAGACATATGACTCTATCAATACGAAACAACTCTATAAAATAAAAGAGAAGCCATCAACATCGGGCTTGAAATAAATAAAGAAAAGACGAAGATATTAAAACAAACGAGAACAAGAAGGAATGTAAACCACGTCATAGCTGAAGAAAATGTTGAAAATGTGAGGAGAGAGATATTAATAATTTGTATTATACATAAATTTGACCGGGGTAAGATATCTTCCTAGTTTTTTTTTAATACCGTGATGTATAAAATCAAAACGTTTAGAGTACAGAATGGTTCAAATTCGATGTCCGAATAGGCTATCTCGGAAACTATAAGAGTTAGAAAAAAAGTAGCTTACATGCCTCGATCTCTTTTTTTAAATAAATTCCAATGCCGAAAACCTCATAGCGCTATCGTCTTTTGTTTTTCCCCTAGAGGCCAAAATTGAAACTATCATAAAACCAGCAAGTGCAATTATCTTGGTTATTATTATAGGTGGAGTATTATAACTAAGACACTTTTTTACAGAGAATTTGATGACTCAGTCAAAAAAAAATTTTCGGTTTCAGATTTTGAGATATCACAATTTTCGTTTTTTTAAATGGAAACAATCACTGATTATTCGCTTATTAAATTCGTTATTTTTTTCCGATTACAAAAATAGGGTTCGACAGGTCTATTTTTTATTGTTTTAGAATAAAGCTAACAATACAAGGACAGTAGAATCTAACAGGACTGCTACATCCATTGTTGTGACAACCTGCCCGCAAACTACGTCACACCATTTGCCACGCCCAGCTGTTGTTGTGGTCTATGCGTTGCTGTGTATTTGTAGAGGTTATATCGTAGACGTATTCATATTATTTTTGAAGTTTTATGTTTTTAGACGTATTAATGTCTATCCTATAACCTCTAAAAACATAGACAGTTATCTACCAGGCGTGGCAAATAGTGTGACGTAGAGTGCGGGCAACCCACCCGTAGTGGGCTACAAAAATACAATGCATGTAGCAGTCCTGTTAGATTCTCCTGTCCTTGCTAACAATAAACTTTTTTTTAGTGTCGTAATATCTCAAAATCTAAAACCGAAAATTTTTTATTGAAAAGTGTCCATATAATGTCTAAAGCGTCCTTCACATGATCAATATACAGTGTGTTAATTAATTATCGTACCCGACGTCTGTGATATTGGTTGCATACTTGCAATGATGACGTCGGGTACGATAATTAATTAACACACTGTATATTGTCAATAAAATATTTTCAATATGACCAATAAATATTGACAAACTGTAATTGCCTCAGACTATCAATATTTATTGACAATGTACTTAGTTTTGCGTTGGCAGTCAAAGATGCTATGTCATGTTTGCATGTATTAATGAATCATCCGAGGAGTTAATAGCACTTTTATCCATTAAAGTATATCTGTCTGAATTCATTATTACGCGATATAATCCGTAATATAATCCTACTTACGTAGGATTGTCAATATCACCCTTAGACTGTAAATATTTATTGTCAATATATCAAATATTTTCGTTTTCGTCAAACTATCCCATCAATATTTTTAATATTGAAAATATGTCAATCTTTCGACTCACACGTTCAATAATATTGTCAATACTCAGCATTGACAATATACAGTGCATTTCAAAAGTAACGGATAAATTCGATAAAATCATTACAAAAAAAAATCGAAAAAATCGCTGAAACGGGTCTAAAGATTTAAATTTTTTAGTGTATATTTTAAATTTTTTCCGCTATTTTTAAGCGAGTTATGACGTCATCAAAGTTTTTTTTAAATGGAACACCCTATTTTTTATATCGGAATTTGATAGAGGATTTTTTTCTAAATTATATACAATAAATATTAGCATCGGTTACATAAGAAAATTTTCGAAAAAAATTAATTTAAAGTTTCATTATTTCCCATTCATTTGATATAGAAAATAGCAGTAGCAGTGCGTAACCATGGCAAGGAATTGTTTTGATTTGATCCCCCTTGTAGGACCAAAAAAATGAATTAAATTTATTCTATTTGTTTTTTGGTATATCTTCCATAGTAATAGTATTTAAATTGGATTGCGACAAAGATACGTTTTAAATATTTTCAGCAGATTCTTTTGGTTTCTTGAACGTGATGGTTAATGCTTTTTCTATCAATAACAATATTATGTAGCAAACCGATACACTTAACAATATCATCAGCTACATCTGTAGATGTTTGTATCGCTGTTCCTAAAGTTCTCCACTTAGTATACAGTATTTCAAAAGCACATTCAACAGTTCTTCGTGCTCTTGATAATCTAGTATTAAAGTAGTCTTTACCTGTATCAATTTATTGTCTGCGATAAGGTTTCAATAAATTAGGGAGAAGTGAAAACCTATGATAACATGGGGTACAGTGATGTATAATCCATGAATTTTGCAGGGTGTTGCCTTAAGTGTTTAAAGGTGATGAAATTCTCTAAACGTATACCGTTTGGTATTTATTATATTATAATATTAAATGAAACGTCACCTATAAAGCAGAGATCGTCGCTATTATCAACGCTTCACTATAAACAGCATATTATAGAGCAGCTCTTATCGCTGCTCTTATCGTTTATCGCATCTCTCGTTCCAATATAAACACCTGCATATAAAACTATAACAATTTCGTTGTTTTGCTAGTAGCGTCGCTATTATCGTTTCTCGCAGCTCCAACGTAAACACACCCTAACTCTTATACCTAGTTTCATAGATAGCCTATTCGGACATCGAATATGAACCTTTCTGTACATGAAGACTTTTGTGGAACACTGTACCTACTTGGGGGTTAAGAACACTTTGACACCTTTGATAATTAAAAATTTGAAAACATCATTTTGAAAATATAAAAAGATTTCAAGTGTAGATTTACATTGATGTAATTTTATCAATGGTTCAGTAGATGTTTCAAAGTTCATTATTTTTTCAATTCGTATTTAACCAACTGCTTATGCAACCGAAAAATCACTACAGCAAATAATTGGTCTAAAACTTTTCCAAGTAACTCAAGGGTTTAGGAATTTTTATTTTGTTACCAAAAACCCAAGAATGCGTTCGTTTCCTTGTGTTTATTTACATTGTTTAGTTTCGGTTCTAAAATAATTTTTACGGTTTTCGTAGAAGATCTCACCAAAGTGATTAACTTTAAAACATTCAGCTGTAAATCTACATTATATTAGAGCAATTTTTGACAAAACACTTTTATAATGTAGATAAAGTAAATGTTCCGTGCATCCATGAAGAAAGAATACTCGAGATGTTACCTTTTCTACGTTCTAGTCCAGGTTTTATTCATTATTCACATTTCCGCCGGTAAGCTACTTTTCATTTCCTTTTTATTTTTACCTTTTAAAATAATATTAATGCCATCTTATTTTTTATCTTTTCATCTAGAAAACCTTCTGTCAGCTCAGAATCCGATACTTTTATACACCACCACATCTGACGTCCGCGTTGCAGACACATCTTCGTCATTAAAACAATCTAAGAATAAAGGAAAAACAAACGTTCTAATACCAAATGTTTCCGACGGGATGTTAGATTTTAATTATGGTTTAAAAAAGTTATGTTGGTCTAATAGCCATGATGAAACGATTCAGTGTGGCGATTTCAATGGATTTGAAGTTAAAAATAGAGAGGTAGTTATTCCAGATGCTCCAATTACACAAGGATTGGCCTGCGACTGGTACACTAATAAATTGTATTGGACTGATAGCGATAAGGATCACATTGAGGTTACTACAATGAGTAAACCTTTCTATAGGAAGGTTTTATATTGGACTGACATCGATCAACCTAGAGCTATTGTTGTAGCTCCAAGTAAAGGGTGAGCTATTTTAAATTATTAAAATAACAACCAGTATTTCCATGGTAACAATCCCCTAGATAGTTTATTAGCCTTATATGTATATATGTAGGTAGAAAAATTATTGTAAGCTTAGGTAAAGAACGAAATCTATTGGAGATATTAGCAAATGTTGAAAAAAAGTCTTATTTAGTATGTACCTATAAATTATTGGTGACAGATTTTCTTGAGTAATTAACAACAAAATCAAACAATATCTCAATAAGTAATTGTGTCACATAAATTGCTATTGAAGTTGAAAGTGAGTATCACTATGTATGTGATACCAACCTATAAGATAGGGCACAAGGAGTGTAAAAATTATTAGGGGAAATCATTATTGAGCACTTTTGAAAGTATACAAACATGTATATGAACCCTTATGTGCAACAGGAGACAAAGTGATAAAAGCTATCCAGATTATTTATAGAAATAGCGCGAAACGTGTGCAAAAAGTTTATGTCCAGGGAAGGCTTGAGACAAGGTCCTCCTATGTTATATGTCTTTTTTTATTTATGCTGTTAATGAATGGTATAATGAGGAAATGTGACAAAAGAAATTAAGAACAAGTGTTAGAGCAGGTTAAACACTACTATTATTTGAAACATAACAAGGCGAGATGGAGTTAGAAATTGGGGTGGAGAACATTTTGGAATACATCTACTTATAATACCTCTGGAACGAAATTGTTAAAAAATCAAGTTTTAACAACTTCCTCTTTCATCCAAGCATTTTTGGTGTTGGTGTAAATAACTGGGTAATTAAAATTCTTGAAACATACGGGATTTTTAGCTTTGTCAGTTACTACAGATTGTAATAATTTATGAGATCCAGACGCATTTGCACAACCAAGAAAAGCCATGCGTTGACTTGCCGTTTTCGTGCCAGGAGTTGAACTTACTAGCTTTTGTCTGGTAACAGTTGATAGGTTCAGTTCATGAATCTTATTCTGACATTTACGTTTTAAAGGATGGACAAGTTTAGGTTGAGATGATAATTTTTCTCCTCACATCTTTAACTTAGTCTTACGCAATAACGCATTTTAAACCAATCATTGTTGGTGTTAAAACTTCCTGAACAATATTTATTAAAACAAATCATCTTTTTGTTTCATGAAGATTTTATAAATACGCACATAACTTTTGCATTGACAAAGTCCAATTATACAGGATGTTCCGGTGACTCGGGGCATAAAATTAACCTCATATACTAGAGCAAAAATGATGACGATTCGTGAAAAAAAATTATTATAAAAGTCTTCAAATGGCTAAGATATGGGCTATCAAAGTTCAGAAATTTTAACACATTTTTCTAAATATTTTCAATACCATTTATAGTAAAGCGTTGAAATTTGGTACAGGGTAAACAAATATCAAGCAAAATCATTGAACCAATTTTGACTTTGATCGGGCGGCGGCAACCATGCTATACAGGCTGTCCCTAAAATTTGTTTGCTCAGAACTTTTTTGTTCGCTCCTAACCCTACATTTATTTTTGTACTTTTTAATAGAAAATTTATTTTAGAAACTATTATCACTCTTTGAAAATTTTTATAACATTTACCGTTTTCGAGTTATACGCGAAAATGTTAAGCTTTGATTTCAATCGTAACAAACAAAAAAAGGAAACATATTCCGCAAGATCTGAGTTGGCGATGACAATTCAAAAACGAACTGAGCTAATAATCATTATTTGCATACATTTCTAAGTGCAGACTTAGTTAAATCCCGTGTTAATTTATTTTAGTTGAATAAAAGATTGTAATTTCCAAAACAATAAATTTAATTTTCATGGTTACAACAAACAAAAAATAACAAAAACATTAACATGAACAATAAAATTATAAACAAATAGTAATAAATAAAAAAGAACAAAAAAATACTAAAGCAGATGTTCAAAAACACTCCCGCCGGCATCAATACACGCCTGATATCGCCGTTTTAAATTAAAGCGCACTCTGCGGAGAACATCGATCACAGTTCGAAGTTGATCAAATGAATCAACAATTCGCAACCTCAGTTGATCAACTCGTTTTCGATCAACTGATTTAAACGCAGTAAATTAGCAATTTAACGCGTCCCCATAAATAAAAATCTACAGGTGTAAGATCTGGCGATCGGGGGGCCAACTTATCGGTGAACCTACTCCTAGTCCAATCCACCGTCCCGGAAAACGTTCCCTCAGAAATTCTTGGACGGCTTGTGTGCTATGCGCAGGAGCACCATTATGCATACACCACATTGCTTGCCTTGTGTTTAAAGGACCATCATCTAAAAAATCATCTAATTCCTCTAAATGTCGCCTGTATGTATGTCCATTCAGCCTTGATGGCAAGAAAACGGGTCCAATAATTACATCGCCCACAATGCCAGCCCAAACGTTAAGAGAAAATCTCCATTGTGATTTCCAAGTTTTCTTAAATCTTGGATTTTCGTCCGCCCAACTATGTAAATTTCTCAAATTGAAGATTCTATCTTTAGAAAAAGTGGATTCATCTGTAAAAAGCACTTTTTCTTAAAACTGATCATCAATTTGGATTTTGTGCTGCATTATTTGGCAATATCGCAGTCGCCAATCAGCCAGTCGAACTTCCTGAACTTTGTAACAATGAAATGGATAAAGCTGTTGCTCGTGAAGAACACTCCAGACAGTTGTTTTTGAAGTTAAAAAGTGCCTCGCCATATCCAAAGTACTAGTGTAGTATTTTCTTCTACGTAGTCTAGAATATCTTCTTCTAGTTCGGGTGTTCGGACTGATCTTACGTTACTGTTGTTAGTAAATTTCGGCTTTAACGTCCCATTTTCCCTTAAACGGGTTTCAATCCTTAAAAATGTTTTTCGATTGGGCGCTCTGCGATTCGGAAATTTCCCCCGATAACGCTTAGCGGCTGCTACGGCGTTTCCATGACATTCCCCTAATGTCAAAATCATGTCAGTTTGTTCACTAAATGAGTAACTCTCCATTTTGAACACTTAAAATTAATAAAAACTTAACTAACAAAAAACTATCATTTGTGTTTAAACGACATAAGCAAGTTGACAGCTCAATTTGTTTTTTTAATTGCCATGGCCAACCTTGACTTTTTCGAAAATTTGTTATTTTTTAGTGTTACCATTGAAATCGAAGCTTAATATTTTCGCGTATAACTCGAAAACGGTCAATGTTATCAAAATTTTCAAAGAGTGATAAAAGTCTCTAAAATAAATTTTCTATTAAAAAGTACAAAAATAAATGTAGGGTTACGAGCGAACAAAAAAGTTCTGAGCAAACAAATTTTAGGGATAGCCTGTATAGCATGGTTGCCGCCGCCCGATTAAAGTCAAAATTGGTTCAATGATTTTGCTTGATATTTGTTTATCCTGTACCAAATTTCAACGCTCTACCATAAATGGTGTTGAAAATATTTAGAAAAATGTGTTAAAACTTCTGAACTTTAATGGCCGGCCCATATCTTGACCATTTGAAGACTTTTATAATAATTCTTTTTCACGAATCGTCATCATTTTTGCTCTAGTATATGAGGTTAATTTTATGCCCCGAGTCACCGGAACACCCTGTATAAACGGTAGACTCTAAATATAACGTTATTTATACTACAATACGTTAACAAGTCATCGTTACCTAAAGTTTCTGCAGAAAAAATCGTCCTGAACTGCTGAATGATTTTCCGGACGCGGTAAAAAGAACGATGTGGTTTCAACAAGATTACGCATCATACAATCCACATAACTCACAAACAGTGACTCAATACCTGGACCGTAGATTTCCAAGACGATGACAAATGAAGATAAATGGTCGTGTAAGGTGGCCTCTGAGATCCCCCCTATTTAACGACGCTTGACTATTTTCTATGCTAATTTTCTTTTTTTAATTTTTTATGCTGCTAATTTTCTATGCTACTTCTAATGCTCTAAAGGCTAATGTGCATAAAGACCCCAACCGATTACGAAATTATACGCAAAAGATTATGCATGTGTTAATGCAATTAATCGCGCCTCATTACTTAGAGCAGCGTTCCGCAAACTTTTTTAAATAGCGACCCAAAAATATGAATAAAATCTTAATGTGACTGATAACAAGTTAAAAAAGGCGGTAATTACTCTTATAGAAAATTAAACACAGTTTCGGCATAGATTTTCTCAAATAAATATGTATTTTTAGCCTAACTCTATTTAATAATATATTTCTATTTCTATTATTTTAAAGATATGTTTGCTAATACAGACCGCTGAAAATTGGGCGATTCGCTGACTTACTAATTGTCAATTCAAATTTCTATTTTCAAGTGTTACGGTGTTACCAACTGCTGCATACCTATTTCCCTACATTGTCAAAATTTATTTTATTTTTGTTAAAAAAAAGGGATAAAAACGCGAATTACAAAAAATAGCATAAAAAACACGTTTCATAAGACTTAAAGCACTCATTCATTAAAAAACTCGTGGCTTCGCCACTCGTTTTTCAACTTGAATTCGTGCAGTTCAAGCGTGTCTTACGAAACTTGTTTTTTAATATACTATTTTGTAATTCGCGACGGTAATGAAAGCTATAATAGTACTCAAACGGGTGCTGTAATGAAACTCATTACAGCATCTGATGCTGTAATGAGATTTTAGTAACATTTTATGGTACCAGTTCAAGTTGGTGACATTGGATCATTAATTTTTGTAGTTGTCAATGTGACAATGTTTATCTATGGATGTTTAAACACGTTCTTAGCATCGAATACAAGGTCCGCAATGATGAGGACATTGAACTCTGAGCAATTTTTCTTATTTTGGGAGGTGTACATCAAACATTTTTGTCAGGTGAATACATTTTGTGTTTTGACAGTTTCTAATTGTCAATTCAAATTTCTATTTTCAAGTGTTACGGTGTTACCAACTGCTACATACCTATTTCCCTACATTGTCAACATTTATTTTATTTTTGAGAAAGAAAAGGATAAAAACGCGAATTATAAAAAATAGCATAAAAAACACGTTTCATAAGACTTAAAGCACTCATTCATTAAAAAACTCGTGGCTTCGCCACTCGTTTTTCAACTTAAATTCGTGCATTTCAAACGTGTCTTACGAAACTTGTTTTTTAATATACCATAACCTAATTAAAGATAGGTTGGTGAAGCACGTTTTTTGTATTTAGCTATAAAAACCAATAAGGTTAATGATAATAACTTGAAGACCAATAAGGTTGAATAACTCTTCTTTGATAAATTAAATTTAAATTTAAAGATTCAAACTTCTTTACCTTTATTTATTACGTTATCGTTTAATTTCAGTTTATTATTTTGGACGGATTGGGGCGAAGTTCCAAAGATAGAACGCGCAAGCATGGACGGTAATCCAAATTCCCGTCAAATAATAGTTAACGAAAGGTTATATTGGCCCAATTGTTTAACTATTGATTACGAAGCTGAGTTAATTTATTGGGCTGATGGTAATCATAGAAAAATAGAACGGATGGATTTTAATGGAGAGAACCGAAAAGTTATCAAAAACTCTTTGACTTATCCCTATGGTGTAACCAAGTTCCAAAATAGACTTTATTGGACAGATTGGAAAACAAGGTATGCGTATTAAAGATTTAAAGAAAAATGTGGTTAATTTAAAATTTTCTAGTGTTATTTATGTTGACGATGAAATGGATGTTAAAGAATTTTTGAAATTGGACCCTGTTCCTAGTGATATTCACGTTTGGGACTCATCTGTGCAAGTCTACAATCAAAATCCTTGCGAGTTTAATAATGGGGGATGTTCACATCTTTGTTTATTGTCTTCAAGCGCCTTAGGGTATAGTTGTGGGTGCCCCAGCGGGGTTAAATTAATAACAAACACAACGTGCGCCGATGGACCTAAAGAGATCTTAGTTTTGGCTAGAAGAAGTAACATTTGTTTAGTGTACTTAGATTCGCCTGAGTACACTTACGTAACTTTAAATTTAACTCACATGAATTTTTTGATTGGAGTTGATTATGATCCCGTTGAGCAGTTCATCTATTGGACTGACGATGATTTACCGAAAATACAGAAAGTAAAACTCGACGGAAGTGAACAACAAGATGTTATTTCATATGAACTTTTTCATCCTGATGGTGTAGCTATAGATTGGGTGGCTAGAAATTTATATTGGGCAGAAGCTGGTTTTGATAGAATAGAAGTTGCTACTTTAGATGGAAAATATAGAAAAATTATTATTGCCAATGGTTTATATGAGCCAAGAGCCATTGCTGTTAGTCCAGAATTAGGTTGGATGTTTTGGTCAGATTGGAGCGAAAAGAATCCAAAAATTGAAAGAGCTAATTTAGATGGAAGTGACAGGACTGTTATTGTGACAAGTAATCTAACTTGGCCCAATGGAATCGCTTTGGATGTTGAAAAAATGAGGCTTTATTGGTGTGATGCTAAAACACATAAGATTGAGTACACAAATATGGATGGAAGTAACAGAATCGTTTTATTGGACACTGATTTGAAGCATCCTTTTGGGTTCACTTTGTTGGGAGAGTTTTTGTATTGGACAGATTGGCATCAGAGATCTATTGATAGGGTTCATAAAGATACAGGTTAGTATTCGTTTTTTCTTTTCTTTTGATGTTGCTAATTTTTAAACGTTTCTAAAGGTACCTCTCGCGAACGAATAGTTGATCAAATCTCGGATGTGATGGGTTTAAAAGCAATTCAAATAGACAAAATAACCGGTACGAACCCGTGCGGGCGCAACAACGGAAATTGTTCTCATTTCTGCCTCTATCGTCATGATAAAACCGCCGTTTGCGATTGCCCCATCGAATATGATTTATCAAAAGACGGCAAAACTTGTTATATCCCCGAAGCGTACTTTTTCTTCTCCACAAACGGCTCAATTGGACGTGTGGACATTGAGAGACAACTGGAAGTTATATTACCAATCAAAAGTGTTAAATACGCAAGTTCTATAGATTTTGATTACGATAACTATCAAATTTATTGGACAGATAGTAAACAAAAAACCGTTATGAGAGCGTTTATAAACGGTTCAGATCCCCAACGTGTTGAAGAGTTGGGTTTAATAGCTCCAAATGGAATTGTTGTGGATTGGGTTAGCCATAACGTGTACTGGTCCGATTCCATAGCCCATAAAATTGAAGTGGCCAGGGTTCCAGGAACGAGCAGGCGGGTTTTGTTGTGGGAAAACATTCAAGAACCGTACAGCATAGCTTTGGATCCGCAAAGAGGATATATGTATTGGTCTGAATGGGGGAATTCAAAATGTTTAAAAAGATCGGCGATGGACGGCTCCGATCCGAAAATTTTCATTCAAAATGTAAACAACGCTTATGGACTTATTGTCGATTTTAAAACAAAGAGGTTGTTTTGGATGGAAACCTCAACGCCCGCTTTATTATCGTCAGATTTTAACGGTTTAAACAGAAACGCGGTGGTGAAAGATATGATATTTAAGCCTCAAGGATTGGCAATGTATAACAATTTTATTTATTGGAGTAATACGACTTCAGAAGAACTTTGGAAGACTTCGTTGAGTGGCGAAAAGTCTCCAGTTGTTAAATTGTCCGAACCGGCAACTGATATTTCAATTATATTCAAACCAAATCAGAAAATTACTAATAATTGTGGAGTTAATAACGGGGGTTGTAAACATTTATGTTTAGCTGTACCTTCAACTAATAAGCTTGAAACCGTTAGTTACACCTGTGCTTGTCCAACTCATTATGTTAAAACGAATCAGACGTGTTTACGTAAGTGAAATGGTTAAGTAGCTCTTTTAATAAAGTAATAAAACATTTTTTAGCACCTGAAAAGTTCATAATTTATAGTCAAAAAAATTTGGTAGTTCGACTTTTACCAGATAGCCAAACGGATTGTTTAGAAGCCGTTTTACCTATTCACGGACTTAAAAACGTTAAATCGATTGATTTTGATCCTGTGAAACAATATTTATATTGGGTAAAAATTGACAAATAATTTTTATGTTTTAATCATAATTTTTGTATCTTTCAGATTGAAGGTAAAACCCTTTCTATAAAAAAAATCGACATTAATGCGAATAGAGATCAGTCACCAAAAACGGTGGTGGCTTCAGATCCTGATATAAGACCTTTCGATTTGGCTGTGGATGTGTTTGGACATTTGCTGTTTTGGACGTGTGCGGCTAAAGACGTTATAAATATTACTAGAATGAATAGTACGTTTGTAGGTGTTATTGAAAAGAAGGACGAGAAACCTAGGTTGATAGCGATACACCCATCAAAAAGGTATCATTATTTTCTTTTCCTAATAATGAAAATAGGAACAATTATTTTTAATTAAAAAATTAAATATTTTTCTTATTATTAGAAATGATCTTCTTTGCTCATTCCCACTTTACGTAGGGTCGGCCCTCCTAATATGTATTTTAGCGTCACGACATTCTGTCCTGGGTTGTCGGTTCAGATAAATTATTTTCATTTAGGGTCAGTCATGCTATACAAAAGCAATTGTTTACAACAAGGTCTATTTCAATTATAAAATCAGGTGTTTGAAGAAAGTGGAGGAATACTTGCAAGGGAAGTATCAGAACTGTCCCTCACCGATTTTGTTGAAATTTGGTACAGTGATAATATGGCCAAAAATAAGGTTTACGTATTTTTTTATACGTACTAATAAAGCCCCTGGGGCGAGTTATAAGGGTGGGAAATCGGGGCGAAATATATACCGGGTGTCCCTCAAAAATGGCTCACCCCCATATTTTTCTTTATTATTGGTGATATAAGAAAACCATTTGGAATGCATAGTTAGGTCGCTAAAACGGAATATTACGACATGAAATCATTCTTTTTGTACTTCCGGTTACACCGGATGTGAGTACTAATTTCTTTTTTTTTTTAAATCTATAATTTTTTTTTCTTCAGTTGGGTAGACAGTATAATTTCACATAACTTTTACTTGAAAAAATTTTCACGATCGCTTATAATTTTTGAAAAAAAAAATTATTTTCGTTATTTTTTAACGTTTTAGTACCTTAGGGAAATGTATTACAACTTTTAACGCATAGTAGCTAGGTTAAGAGTACAAGCTACGTTATGTCCCTCTTGATTTGCTATTCCTCGAGCAGTGATCACTGCTATACTTTAGTTAGTGGTTCTTTTTTAGTAATGGTGTAAATTAACAGTTGTGTTAAATTAGTTTTAAAAGAAAAACGCTATCCAACAATTAAATTTAATTCAATTGTAAGTTCGAAAAAACTAATTTTCTCAATTTTCATCTTGCGTATTGTCGATCTAACGACTCGACGTTATTCCTGCGGAGATATTTAGGTAATACAATTTCTAACTCGATTTATTTTCCAATACCTCACGAGACCTTACTGGTGTATTATACAGCTCATTTTTGATTTTGCCCCATAAAAAGAATCTAAAGGTGTGAGGTCAGGTGATCTAAGAGGTTTTAACCAAAATAAAGTAAACAATCCAAATTATAATGTACATTGTAAGTTACTATCAGCTACAAAACATTTAGTGTAAAAGAACAAAAAATAAAGAAAAAAATAAAAAATAATTGAATTAAACTTAATTTGAAACTTAATTTTTTTCTTAAATTTTGTGACAGTAATAATTTTAATTTGTTCACCGCTTTATATTTTCGATGTTAATTTCCTGTAAGATACAATGACTTTTGTCTCTGATGATGGCTTTTGCCAAAACTAGTTAGACAACAAAAATATAAATAAACCAGTAAAAGTACAACAAAATTCGAAATTTTTTCTATCACGTTAAACAAACTGGTATAATGGATATTAACTTCAATTTCAACCTAATTAAACTTAATTGTTTGATCGCGTTTTTCTTTTAAAACTAATTTAATACAACTGTTAATTTACACCATTATTAAAAAAGAACCACTGACTAAAGCATAGCAGTGATCACTGCTCGAGGAATATCAAATCAAGAGGGACATAACGTAGTTTGTACTATTAACCTAGCTACTATGCGTCAAAAGTTATAATACATTTTCCGAAGGTACTAAAACGTTAAAAAATAACGAAAATAATTTTTTTTTTCAAAAATTATAAGCGATCGTGAAAATTTTTTCAAGTAAAAGTTATGTGAAATTATACTATCAACCCAACTGAAGAAAAAAAAATTATAGATTTAAAAAAATAGCGAAATTAGAACTCACATCCGGTATAACCGGAAGTACAAAAAGAATGATTTCATGTCGTAATAATCCGTTTTAGCGACCTAACTATGCATTCCAAATGGTTTTCTTATATCCCCAATAATAAAGAAAAATATGGGGGTGAGCCACTTTTGAGGGACACCCGGTATATTCGCTTATAGTCTGAAAACGAAAATAGTTATCGAAATGTGGTAAATGTAAACTGATATTCATTTTCAAAGAGCTTTGCATTGATATACCTGAGGGCTTCAGGGGGTAAACTACCCCTAGTTTTTTGGAATATTTTAAAAACTACCCTGTCAATTTTGGCGGTATTATGTATCCTTATAGTACGTTTAAAAGTATTAATGACGTGTTTTTTCTTATTTGCCTCTGACCATCCCTTGCAAAGTTACGGGGTATGATAGATAACCCCTTTCCTTAAGAGTAACGTGATAAACTGTTACACTTTTGAACAATATTTTGAAGAAAACCATTAATTATATGTAAATTAAGATTTACGCAGTAAAATAAACCCTATACGACATTAAGGGGTGGCTGGGGTTAACTACCCTAAAAACCCCAAAAGTTTTTTTTTGCAAATTGTCGATTTTGGTGCAATTTCCCACGATAATTTTTTTATAGGTTAGGTAGTCCTATTGTAAGAACTTAATTTAATATTTTTGCTAATAACTTTCATACTTCTACAGAAAATGCTTTTTATCCTTATTTTATTCTATTTAAATAATGCAAAAGTTAGGATAACTATATAAATATTTATTAATAATGAGTTAAAAAGCAACTGAAAAAAAATGGTTAAGTATCACAAATTGTATTCTACATTATTAGAATCCTCTGGTACGTTTGGACCGAGGGTAATAAATGCAATGTTCATAGCAGATAACATATTCGTTTTGGTATCAAAGTCTGGTAAACTGACTTCTGCTCATATGAAAAATTGACTACATAATGTCTATTTCCCAAACACCGGACCCAAATCATTACTATTACTGGATTCTTGGAGTGTCCACTGCCCTGAAATTATTAGTGAAGTAACGCCATCGGATGTTAAGTTTAAATATTTGTCTATACCTGCAGGGACAACAGGTCAAATTCAACCCCTGGATGTATTTGGTTTTAGAATATGGAAAAATTTCATTACAAGATTTTCTGATCAAGTTATTCTCTACCAGTACAATATCAATTTGCATCAGCGAGATATTTTAAAATTGCAATCCTTAACGCATAACCAGTTATCTTCCCCACGATTTATTAATGTTTTTAAATACGCCTGGTTTGCATCTGGCTATATAGAGGGGAGACCAGAACAGTTTGAAAATCTTGTGGAGGTTTGCTTTTCCAATGAAAAACCTACGTGCGATATCTGTGGAGATATAGCTGTTATAACTTGTGCATAGTGTAAACAATCGTTGTGTTTAAAACATTTTTTCCATGATTTTCATTATTGCCAACAATATATTGAATAAAAAAAGTAAAAAAAAAAGAAATTAAATTAATAATGTAGAATACAATTTGTGATAGTCAACCATTCTCTTGTCAGTTACTTTTTAACTCATTATTAATAAATATTTATATAATTATCCTAACTTTTGTGTTATTTATATAGAATAAGGATAACAAACATTTTTCTGTAGGAGTATAAAAGTTATTAGCGAAAATATATTTTCTACCCCAAACTTCTAACCCTTGTAAGTTCTTACAATAGTACTATCTAACGCATAAAAAAAACATCGTGGGAAATTGCACCAAAATCGACAAACAATTTTCGCAAAAAAAATTAATTTTTGGGGTGGTTAGGGTAGTTAACCTCAGCCACCCCTTAATGTCGTATATTGTTTAGTTTACTGCGTAAATCTTAATTTACAACTAATTTATGGTTTTCTTCAAAACATTGTTCAAAAGTGTTACAGTTTACCACATTATTCTTAAGGAAAGAGGTTATCTGTCATACTGCGTAATTTTGCAGGGGATGGTCAGAGGCAAATAAGAAAAAACACGTCAATAAGATTTTTAAACGTACTATAAGGACACAAAATATCGCCAAAATCGACAGGGTAGTTTTTAAAATATTCCAAAAAACTAGGGGTAATTTACCCCTGAAGCCCTCAGATATATGTGTGATATTTCAATGGAAAGCTCTTTGAAAATGAATATCAGTTTACATTTACCACATTTCGATAGCTATTTTCGTTTTCATCCTATAAGCGAATATACAGGTGATTCACATAAGAACCGACACAGAGCAGGGACATATGGAGGACAATAAATTAAGATGATTTAACGCAACTTATCTCTATACTAAGTTGTACCCCTCAGGAGTTATAGGCCTTCAAAGTTGGGTCTTAAATTTTTAAAACATTGAATATTTTCGTAATACATTAAGCTAGAAAAACCAAATTTGGTATACGTTATGAGTGTTCCGAAGGTATTAATTGGTAGCAAGTTGAGACCAATTGAGACATTCCAAAGGGTTGATTAAGGGTGATGGTCCCCTAAATTTTGACAGATTTTTTTAACCTTTTGGTGGATTTAATGTATTATTACCTCATTTCATGTGGAATTTAATTCTAAAACTTTTTTTACTCTTATTATTTTTTAAAAAACATTGTCGTTTTCATTAAAAACTCAAATAACTAAAGACACGTATTTCGTTAATGCTACTTAGTATCATCGAAAATTCAGTAGTCGGCTATGAAATTGTACGTCAAACTTGACAAATAGGTCATAAAACCTTGTTGTCAAATAACTTTATAACCTATTTGTCAAGTTTGACGTACAAATAGGTCATAAAACCTTGTTGTCAAATAACTTTATAACCTATTTGTCAAGTTTGACGTACAATTTCATAGCCGACTACTGAATTTTTGCTTATTTTAAGTAAAATTACGAAATAAGTGTCTTTAGTTATTTAAGTTTTTTATGAAAACGACAAAGTTTTTTAAAAAATAATAAGAGTAAGAAAAGTTTTAGAATTAAATTCCACATGAAATGAGGTCATCTACCGACATCGGTCGCCAGTTTTTTCGATTTTCGTTTTTTAGCCTCGGATGTTTACACAGGATACACCTGTGTATTCCTA